TTAATGTATGTCTCGTTAGTGTTGATCACGAATTCAAACTTGTTTTGGTCGCACATATTGTTGGCCACACTTTCCCGACGACCGACCGATGGGTCCATCAATTCATTTGTTATGTCTTTTTAATCACAAAATTATTTTCTGTTTTCAATGTTTTTGTTTACAACACTTTAGAAATGTGTTTATCGTTACGTAATTCGTGTAAACGTTGTGTTGTATTGAAAGTTACGGTAAAACTGTTTTCTCCCATAGAGTTATGCTGTGAATGCAATTTAATGGGCATTTCTCTTCCCTCATAAAACTTTTATTCAATCAAACAAATCAATTAAACGATTGTATAAAAAAGTTTTTATTATTAAAATATTCACAAACTTTAATCGTTTTAATGTATACTTTTATCTAGTTTTATATCATTATATAAATAACACCTATAAATGACTGGAAAAAACGGTGAATAACATAAAAATATCAATTAATTTAATGGTAAAACTCAAGTCAGTCAAAGAGTCCCTCGACATCAATCCTCGAGGGTTTGTATCCGTTGTTGAGTGAATTCATTATCATGTCTTTGTCGAAGATGTCAATCAACGCATAGTCTTTGTGTTTCATGATTCCCAACGACTGTTGAATAGTCTCTAAAAACTTGTCAAACTTCACGGCCTGTATATTGCGACACATATTGAGTTCGGTCTCAAACGGATTCTCCATCCATATGGGCAGCGATGGGTCGGGCGTTGTATACGTGGTGCCGTTTAGTATGGATATGGCCTCCCAATCAAACTTTAAAGTGAGCACCAACTCGAAGAACTGCGCCAACAGATCCAGAGTAGACGTTTGCGTAGCGCAGGGAATGAACGCTTGCGATGAAGGGGTGAGAAATTGTCTCATCGGTGGTACTATCTTTTGCTTTTGCAGAAAATACAACACCAATGCTGTCAATTGAAACGATGTAAATCCATTGTACACCATATGAGTGGACCAGTTCTTCGGCTTTAATAGTTCTGTAAAGTTAGACATGAATTTTGTTTTAATAAAAATCAAACAATGAGTTAAAGTAATTATCAATTACTGTGTTGTTTAGCCCATTGTCTTAACAAAAGGATCAAATCTCTGACACAGGGATTAAGACCAACACAATAGTTAAGAAACGCCGACATATAGACCCCGGAGTGGACAGAATGTGCGGATAATTCGATGGAGAGGTCGATGTCTATCGGCGCCAAATCAAAGCCAAACTTAACGATCGGTATTCTGGCTCTCAATATACGCGAGAAATGGGAATAAAATGGTATCGAGTATTGCAAGAGATCCGCTATTAGGTTCAGATGTGTCTTCAGCTTCACGCGGTCCTCCTCTCTAGACATCTGTCCGCCGGACACTTTGGGAACTAATACCAAATCCAAGTCACTGTTCGGAGTTCCCAAACCTATAAGACAAGAGTTACATACAGTACATGTGATAAGTGGTGTCGGGATTGGGAGTCGGGAACAGACAAACATACCGGCAATGGATGAACCAAATGGCAGTATTTGATAGGATTTGAAGTGTGATTGACACACGTATTGCTCTAATTGTGATACTATATAAAACCTAAGCTTAAGATCCAATTCATCCCAGTGTTTGCCATTAACCAGATATAACATCAACTCTTCGTTGGACTTATTACCAAAACATTGTCTCAAATAATTTACATTCAATTGATACGTGTCTCTCCTTCTGGACGTCATTTCGCGGATCTCCTTCTGTTCTTCGCGCTGATCACCGGCCTTATGATTGGCGGACAACACCGGCGGACACGCGTTAAGTGTGATAAACTTGAGTTGAGTGGCCATCGACGGCGACGACCGGTGTCGGGCCGTGTGCTGATCGCTGGTCTGGAACTGTCTGGTGATCTCACGGCGAAGTGTGTATCGGCGGTCATCCAACTCGACGAGAGCGCA